CGGCAACACCAGACACCACAGGGGTACCAGAGCCGGCTCCACCAGACACCACAGGGGTACCAGAGCCGGCTACACCAGACACCACAGGGGTACCAGAGCCGCCAGACACCACAGGGGTACCGGCTCCAGACCAGCCGGACCGGCTCACCAGACACCACAGGGTACCGGAGCCGGCTCCACCACACCACAGACAGCCACAGACACCACAGGGTACCGGAGCCGGCTCCACCAGACACCACAGGGGTACCAGAGCCGGCTCCACCAGACACCACAGGGGTACCAGAGCCGGCTCCACCAGACACCACAGGGGTACCAGAGCCGGCTCCACCACCAGACACCACAGGGGTACCAGAGCCGGCTCCACCAGACACCACAGGGGTACCAGAGCCGGCTCCACCAGACACCACAGGGGTACCAGAGCCGGCTCCACCAGACACCACAGGGGTACCAGAGCCGGCTCCACCAGACACCACAGGGGTACCAGAGCCGGCTCCACCAGACACCACAGGGGTACCAGAGCCGGCTCCACCAGACACCACAGGGGTACCAGAGCCGGCAACACCAGACACCACAGGGGTACCAGAGCCGGCAACACCAGACACCACAGGGGTACCAGAGCCGGCTCCACCAGACACCACAGGGGTACCAGAGCCGGCTACACCAGACACCACAGGGGTACCAGAGCCGGCTACACCAGACACCACAGGGGTACCAGAGCCGCCAACACCAGACACCACAGGGGTACCAGACACGACGGTGATGAGAGGCTACACATTAAGACTGTTAAGTCCTGGGAGGTGCTTCACCGAGACAACGACCCATAGTTCCCTTCGTCACCGTCATGATGATTGCCGCTAGTTTATTGTGCACCCCATACTCATCCTGTGAGCGGTAGCGCAAAAACATTACAGAGGGCGCAAAAGGTCTTTATCAGATCTCAATGGAGATTATTACATTAACAATTTCATCTGTCCTTCACATCTTATAATTACAATGTGAGCTAGTTATGGAGAATGTTTCACTTCAATTGCTATGTATTTAGTTAATCATTATACATTAATGGTAGGTCTTATCGCTAATACGTAATTGTTTGATCTATGGAAATATTACAGGGTTATAGGGGAGCTGCAGTTTGTTATTATTAGTCTTCACAATACACTACTTGCTCCTTAATCTCATATGTCGTTTATCTATGGGAAGCGAAATATGGATACAGTGCAAGGATTTCAGATATTTTATCCTTAGCTGACAGACAAGCGGAAAGGGAAGTTTGAAGACCTGAAAAATCGGGGTTACTAATGAAAACACAAGCTGCATTCTTGGGACTCTGACAACAGATGGGAGGAAGATTGTGATCTTGATACTCTACAATCCCCCACCAAACAGTAGCAGACCCAGGCAGGAGTATGATGACAACAACAAGGCATGTATAGATGAACTGCAGAAGGCAGCAACAACAACTCTCAGAATGAGAGCGAAACTGCTGGTCATGGGGGACCTAAAACATGGAAATATCAATTGGTAATCAAAGAATCCCCATGGTGGGGAGGAAACGTGGGGAGCAAAGTTAGTGCACGTTATAGACGGGAATTTCCTAACACAGTATGTGAAGGAAGACAAGGGAAAGAGGAGGGGATACACCGAGCCTATTAGACCTATTTTCACCAAGAATGTAGAAGACAGACTTTGATATATGAATTAAATAATTAACCCATCCTCCTGTTTAGTTAGTACCCATTTTGGCGATCGTCAATAGTCAGAATTCGTTCGTTCTTAGCTTTTAGATAGTCGTATAATGACTAGTAAAGAATTCTTGAAATGAAGCTAAAACACAAACCTAAATATTCCTAGGTTTAGTATAGCACACATATGTACTATATTAGGCCTCAGATATCGTGCATTAGGCCTAGGGATGTTAGGTTAGTTTAATTTGTCAAATCAACACAAGTAAAAATGTTTTCCGGTTTGTCCAGCTCAATAGCTCGGATTTCTACTTCCTAATTTCGTTGTACGTGGATATATATATACTATGGTCCTCATTGTTACTATAAGTATTACCACAACAGGAGGATGGCTGGAAGTACCACGAGGAGCCAGTGACCATTGTGTCCTAGTCTTTGATGGAGCTTGAAATTGGGACCAAAGGACAAGAGGTCTGGGCAAGGAGAGAGAACTACCGGAAAGGGGATTACAAGATAAGGGAATATCTGTGAGAATTGCAGTGTGAGGAAGAACTTAGAGGAAAAACAGTCCAAGATATGATGAACCTAGACATATGGAAATGCAACGAGGCCGAAGAGCAACCAACGGTAAAGGAAAAAAGCAGGAGGGAATTCAATAACCCATGGTGGTTTAATAGACAGTGTCAGGAATCAAAAATGAGAAGCAGGAGGGAGTGGAGGAAGTACAGAAGACAAAGGACAACAAGATTAGATGCAACAGGGTTAGGAACGATTACATTAACACAGGAAGAGTATCGGAAAGAAATTATGAGAACGATATTGTGATCAAAGCGAAAAAGCAACCTAAATTACTACAGAGTATAAGAAGAAAGTATATAAGAAGAAAAATGTCGGTGAACGACCAAGTGACAAGACTAAGGAAAACAGATGGGGGCATATACGGAGAGTGACAAGGAAATCTGAGAGGTACTGAATGCAAGTTTCCATGGAGTGTTCACAACCGAGCCTGAGCAGCTCCCATTGTTAAAAAAGATTACCCTAGAGGAAAGATTATCAGATATAGAGGTGACAGCAGAGGACATAATGAAACAGTTGACAACACTGCATGCAACTAAAGCAGTTGGACCAGAATACGTATAACCGTGAATACTAAAAGAGGCAGCGCAGACCCTCAGCGTGCCTCTGGCAAGGATCGTTAATGAGTTTCTTATGAAGGAGAGTTGCCCAGTTGCTGGAAGAAGGTAAATGTGGTACCAATTTTCAAGAAAGGAGATATGGAAGAGGCACTTAACTACAAACCAGTATCACTGACAAGCATCCCCCTGCAAAATACTTGAAAGAATAATCAGGTTAAGACTGGTTACACACCTGGAGAACATGAGGTATGTAAACAAACACTAACATGGGTTCAGGGAAGGGAAATCGTGCTTAACAAACCTTATGGAGTTCTATGATAAAGTAACAAAAATACGGAGAAGGATGGGCAAACTGCATATTTCTGGACTGCCAAAAAGCCTTTGATTCAGTACCGCACAGGAGATTGCTATTCAAACTTGAGAGGCAGACAGGAGTAAGGAAAAAGTCTAGAGCATGGGTAAGGAACTACCTAACAGGAAGGAGCCAGAGAGTAACAGTAAGAGGCGAGAAGTCGGACTGGCGAACAATAACGAGTATAGTACCTCAAGGATCGGTGCTGAGACCAATTATATTTCTAATATATAAAAATGACATGTCTACAGGAGTTGAGTCTATGTTTATGTTCGCCGATGACGCAAAATTAATGAGAAGAATTGTGACAGATGAGGATTGTAGGATCCTTCAAGAGGACTTGAACAGGTTGCAGAGATGGTCAGAGAAATGGCTATTGGAGTTCAACACGATTAAATGTAAAGTTATGGAAATGGGATCAGGTGATAGCCGGCCAAAGGGACAGTACACAATGAAGGGGAACTGCTTACCTGTAACGATACGAGAAAGAGACCTGGGAGTGGACGTAACACCTAATCTAACTCCTGAGGCTCATATAAATAGGATAACGACAGCAGCGTACTCCACACTGGCAAAAGTTTGAACATCATTCAGAAACCTAAGTGAGGAGGCTTTTAGGGCGCTTTACACTGCCTACGTGAGGCCAGTCTTAGAGTATGCCGTGCCATCACGGAGTCCCCATCTGAAGAAACGCATAAGGAAACTGGAAATAGTTCAGAAGTTTGTAACGAGGCTTGTCCCAAAGTTACGAGGGATGGGATATGAAGAGCAACTGATGGAACTGAACCTTACGACACTAGAAAAAAAGGAGGGAGAGGGGGAGGGTTATGATAGGAATATAAAATACTTAGGGGGATTGACAGTGTAAATAGACGACATGTTTACCCTAAATACTATCAAAACAATGGAACATGGGTGAAAGCTGGAAACTCGGATGTGTTTGAGATTTTAGGAAGTTTTTTTGTGCGTGAGAGTAGTGGGAAACTGGAATAAACTAATGGAGCAGGTTGTGGAGAAAAACTCTATTCATAATTTTAAAACTAGACATGATAGGGGAATAGGACAGGAGTCATTGCCAAAAAAACAACCGGCTGCTTGAATGGCGGGATATAAGATTCAATGCTCGATCCTGCAGGCACCAACAAGTGAGTACACACGCAAGCAATACAAAACACTAAGCGATCTGATCAAGTCCAGCAACTTTCTCCGGGTTTCACTTGGCGTACACAGCAAGTTGAGGCGGGGGTGGGGGGGGGGGGGTCACCAGTGCTGGGAGTCTGTCCCAGCACCTGGGTCTATAACCTGAGAGTTTGTACCCTTCTTACGTCATCGTTACTCGTTACAAATTCAACCGAGGCTAACAGAATTAACGGAACTTAACGGAACTTAATGAAAATACGAATATTGCGACGTCACTGATATCATGGTTTTCGTGTTCGTTCAGGTTTTTGACACTTCTGGCATCAGTTATGTGACGCAAGTCATGGTTGTTAAGAGTTTAATGCAACCAATCAGGTTTACAGTAGTTTTTTCAATTGTTTTTTAACCAAAAGGTAAACAATGTTCTTGTCTTATGTACTAAATCGTGTTTTTTTTTATTGGTTTATATAAAAGTCGTAACTTCATATATTATGCTATATAGATCAAGAACACCATTTTGGTTTTAATTGTTTGAGCCTATTCAGGTAAATCATAGTTATTATGAAGGTGATGTGATGAATCGTGAATCTTGCAGGTTTACGTAGGCCTATGCAATCATGTTATCGAGTGAATTTAAGAATAATAAATGGGCGGATACTAGTGTACGCACCATAGAGTGTAGGCCTAACCCTACACTGCTGCGTTTCCTAGCCCCTGCACGTGACGGTCTAGGGGTCCTAGCCCCTGCACGTGACGGTCTAGGGGTCCTAGCCCCTGCACGTGACGGTCTAGGGGTCCTAGCCCCTGCACGTGACGGTCTAGGGGTCCTAGCCCCTGCACGTGACGGTCTAGGGGTCCTAGCCCCTGCACGTGACGGTCTAGGGGTCCTAGCCCCTGCACGTGACGGTCTAGGGGTCCTAGCCCCTGCACGTGACGGTCTAGGGGTCCTAGCCCCTGCACGTGACGGTCTAGGGGTCCTAGCCCCTGCACGTGACGGTCTAGGGGTCCTAGCCCCTGCACGTGACGGTCTAGGGGTCCTAGCCCCTGCACGTGACGGTCTAGGGGTCCTAGCCCCTGCACGTCACGGTCTAGGGGTCCTAGCCCCTGCACGTCACGGTCTAGGGGTCCTAGCCCCTGCACGTGACGGTCTAGGGGTCCTAGCCCCTGCACGTGACGGTCTAGGGGTCCTAGCCCCTGCACGTGACGGTCTAGGGGTCCTAGCCCCTGCACGTGACGGTCTAGGGGTCCTAGCCCCTGCACGTGACGGTCTAGGGGTCCTAGCCCCTGCACGTCACGGTCTAGGGGTCCTAGCCCCTGCACGTCACGGTCTAGGGGTCCTAGCCCCTGCACGTCACGGTCTAGGGGTCCTAGCCCCTGCACGTCACGGTCTAGGGGTCCTAGCCCCTGCACGTCACGGTCTAGGGGTCCTAGCCCCTGCACGTGACGGTCTAGGGGTCCTAGCCCCTGCACGTGACGGTCTAGGGGTCCTAGCCCCTGCACGTGACGGTCTAGGGGTCCTAGCCCCTGCACGTGACGGTCTAGGGGTCCTAGCCCCTGCACGTGACGGTCTAGGGGTCCTAGCCCCTGCACGTCACGGTCTAGGGGTCCTAGCCCCTGCACGTCACGGTCTAGGGGTCCTAGCCCCTGCACGTGACGGTCTAGGGGTCCTAGCCCCTGCACGTGACGGTCTAGGGGTCCTAGCCCCTGCACGTGACGGTCTAGGGGTCCTAGCCCCTGCACGTGACGGTCTAGGGGTCCTAGCCCCTGCACGTGACGGTCTAGGGGTCCTAGCCCCTGCACGTGACGGTCTAGGGGTCCTAGCCCCTGCACGTGACGGTCTAGGGGTCCTAGCCCCTGCACGTGACGGTCTAGGGGTCCTAGCCCCTGCACGTGACGGTCTAGGGGTCCTAGCCCCTGCACGTGACGGTCTAGGGGTCCTAGCCCCTGCACGTGACGGTCTAGGGGTCCTAGCCCCTGCACGTCACGGTCTAGGGGTCCTAGCCCCTGCACGTGACGGTCTAGGGGTCCTAGCCCCTGCACGTCACGGTCTAGGGGTCCTAGCCCCTGCACGTCACGGTCTAGGGGTCCTAGCCCCTGCACGTGACGGTCTAGGGGTCCTAGCCCCTGCACGTGACGGTCTAGGGGTCCTAGCCCCTGCACGTCACGGTCTAGGGGTCCTAGCCCCTGCACGTCACGGTCTAGGGGTCCTAGCCCCTGCACGTCACGGTCTAGGGGTCCTAGCCCCTGCACGTCACGGTCTAGGGGTCCTAGCCCCTGCACGTCACGGTCTAGGGGTCCTAGCCCCTGCACGTCACGGTCTAGGGGTCCTAGCCCCTGCACGTCACGGTCTAGGGGTCCTAGCCCCTGCACGTCACGGTCTAGGGGTCCTAGCCCCTGCACGTCACGGTCTAGGGGTCCTAGCCCCTGCACGTGAGGGTCTAGGGGTCCTAGCCCCTGCACGTGACGGTCTAGGGGTCCTAGCCCCTGCACGTCACGGTCTAGGGGTCCTAGCCCCTGCACGTCACGGTCTAGGGGTCCTAGCCCCTGCACGTCACGGTCTAGGGGTCCTAGCCCCTGCACGTCACGGTCTTGGGGTCCTAGCCCCTGCACGTCACGGTCTAGGGGTCCTAGCCCCTGCACGTCACGGTCTAGGGGTCCTAGCCCCTGCACGTCACGGTCTAGGGGTCCTAGCCCCTGCACGTCACGGTCTAGGGGTCCTAGCCCCTGCACGTCACAAGTGTGGGTGTGGACCAGGGTTGTGAGCAAGAAGCATAGGTCGCGGAAGCCACCTCCAGTCAGAGCTTGAGACGACTGCGCCAGAGGGAACCGGTTGGTGTGTGAAGGGGCACCAGGCTGACCATACAGGGTAATGGAGCGTGCCCTTGCCAGCATGTGGAGACTCCCACAGGGTTCCCGGTGGGGCGGGGTAGTGGAAGGATATATGGCACCCAAGCTGGTGAGAATGAGTGCCTCCTGGCACTCTTGGGGCGTCACGGTGATGGAGTGATTTAAGATGAGCGACTCCGTGTCGCTGTGAAAGAAGCGCGCACTTCTACTGCGTCTTGCAAAAATTAAGTCTGGTAGGGAAGTCTCTCAACAATGATCGGAATTCAACAATGGAGTGTTTTCATGGTCGAGGAGGAGGAGGCGAGTGACACAGACCAGCATAACTCTCAACCTTCGGTGTGGCCTCTCCTCCTCTAGAGAACTAACACCACCTCAAGAGTTGACTGACCAAGCAGCGAGTATATATATAATTATATTATATTATATTAGTTCAGGAATCACAATCGACTTGAGAATGGTCCAGGACGGACCGAAACGTCGTCGTCCCTTCACTTTCTAGTGTGGTCTGGTCAATATATTTCAGCCACGTTATTGTGACTCCTCGCCTGCATATTACTTCAGGACTAATGTTATCTCTGTTCATGTACACAGAAAAGTAATTATTTAAAAGAAGTCCTCAAGCTGAGAGAAGTGATATCAAAATATACAGAGACTTGATAAGTACACCTTCCGGTGTATATATCCCTGTTGGCCGTACCTACAGTAGGTCCAACAAGGCTTAACTGCGCCTCCAGGTATGGAGAGATCTAGCCCTTGAGACCGTAGCAGCTACTGTTGCCCGCCTGGCGGCATTTTTATACCTGCCAACCTGTCGGAATTGTTGCCCAGGCTGTGAATGGAGGAGTCTTGCACGATCCGTGTTCCTAGTTCATGCCCCGGCACACACACTCTTCCCCAGCACACACACTCTTCCCCAGAACACACACTCTTCCCCACCACCACACCACCACCACCACCACTCTACCCCACCACCACCACTCTACCCCACCACCACCACTCTACCCCACCACCACCACTCTACCCCACCACCACCACCACCACCACCACTCTACCACCCCACCACCACCACCCCACCACTCTACCACCCCACCACCACCGCCACTCTACCACCCCACCACCACTACCACTCTACCACCCCACCACCACCACCACCACTCTACCACCCCACCACCACCACCACTCTACCACCCCACCACCACCACCACTCTACCCCACCACCACCACCACTTCCCCACCACCACCACCACTTCCCCACCACCACTTCACCACCACCTCACCAAACTGCCTCAGTCTCCAACCATCACCTGTGGCCCCACTTTACTGTTCTCATTATATTTCCTCGTGTCCCTAATGTATCGGGGGCTTCCCCAAGTTACCTTGTCTTCGTAGCTTCCTTATAATCAGTGGACTTCTACAATATGTTGTGCTTCGAAAAGTGGGGACTGCATGCGCTGCATGTTCTACAAAGCTTTCTGACGTAGGTTATGCAATTATCAAAAGGTATATCAAGCCGGAGAGTGACTGTAGCAAAATAAGATTGTGTGTAATAGTTTAAACGCGTCAATGTTTACATTTCTAAATGTCGTTCGCATATTGGACAGTTTTACATACGCTGCTGATGTTAATCAGTTCACGTGTACCTCTAGAGTTACATCCATGCCCGTAATTATATCTAATAATGTTCGGAGACTCGCCATACTTCATCATGAACTCAAACTAAAATATTTTAAATATGGTGGGATGCAAGTGTTAAGTTTGTCCAGGTCAGACAGTAACCCGCAGTCCTCTAATGAGCGGGTCAGTGTTCCGACCTCACACACACCCGCCAGATATCCAGCTGCTATGACAACTGTGGCTGCGCAGACGATCAACGCAGGTGGTGGCGCCCCACCTCCCACTCCTAAAGCAGTGTAGGCCTATCATGAGGCCTGTACGGCCTTCAAACCAAAATTTGTATGCTGTCCATGACATACATTTACATGTAGATAACATCACTTCCTAATGTATACAAGGAGGATACGTTCAACTCTCGTATATTAATCATGAACTTTGTTCACATTAGGGAATAGTTGGGTTTTACTGAACTAATCAGTTTTCAACTATTAAGTTTCCGCTCTTAGTAAACCTTGGCATAGCTATGTAGTCTTTGCCTCAAGGGTTAAGTCCCAGCTGTGTCTGGGTACAAGTGACAGGATGAACAACACAGCGGGGTTTCTTCCTATTGGGGAGTGTTGTACATGCTGCTATGACGGTGTGTCCACTCACAGGATGAGTGACGCTGCCCAATACTGTCACTATGGCGGTATGTCTACTCACAGGATGAGCGGCGCTGCCCAATACTGTCACTATGGCGGTATGTCTACTCACAGGATGAGTGGCGCTGCCCAATACTGTCACTATGGCGGTATGTCTACTCACAGGATGAGCGGCGCTGCCCAATACTGTCACTATGGCGGTGTGTCCACTCACAGGATGAGTGGCGCTGCCCAATACTGTCACTATGGCGGTGTGTCCACTCACAGGATGAGTGACGCTGCCCAATACTGTCACTATGGCGGTGTGTCCACTCACAGGATGAGTGGCGCTGCCCAATACTGTCACTATGGCGGTGTGTCCACTCACAGGATGAGTGGCGCTGCCCAATACTGGCACTATGGCGGTGTGTCCACTCACAGGATGAGCGGCGCTGACCAATACTGAACTCACGTAGTTATGATTGTGGGGATTGAGCTTCAGCTCTTTGGTACCGCCTCTTAATCGTCAATTAACTTTTTTACAAGTTCCTGAGCCTATTGGGCTTTGTCATATCTACATTTGAAACTGTGTATAGAGTCTGGCTCTACCACATCACTTCCTAATGAATTCCATTTGTTAATTTCTGACACTAAAAATGACTGTGGCTCATGTGGATATTAAGTTTCCACCTGTGTCCCCTTGTTCGTGTACCATCTGTGCTAAATAGTTTATCTTTTTCTACCCTATCAATTCCTTTGAGAATTTTGTAGGTGGGTAATCAAGTCTCCCCTAACTCTTTCTTTCATCCAGTGTCCTGAGGTTTAATTCCAGTAGACTTTCCACGGAGCTCATACCTCTGAGTTCAGGAAGAAGTCTGGTGGCATAGCTCTTAACGTTTCCTAACTTCGTTCTGGTGTTTGACTAGATACGGACTTTACTTCATAATTCAGTATTGGTCTGACATAATAGGTATGCAAGCATTTGAATGATTCCTTACACACGTTTCTAATGACAGTTTTTATGTTTGCCAGCCTTGCATATGCCACTGATATCTTTTTGATGTTGGCTTCAGGCAACCCGTTCTCGCAAATTTAATAAGTCAATATTGACTTATTAAATATGTGCATAGGTGACATACTTAACATAATAGTTTCCCTTGAAAAGCTTCATAGAAAACACCGACCTTACCTAACCTACTTAGTATGTTAAGATAAGCATCTTATTGATTCGTAATTACAATTATTACCTAACCTATACCTATAATAGGTTAAGTAACAATTGTAATTACGAAGCTATAAGATGCTTATTTTAACATACTAAGTAGGTTAGGTATGGTCGGTGTTTTCTATGAAGCTTTTCAAGGGAAACTATTATGTTTAGTATGTCACCTATGCACGCAACTAATAAGTCAATATTGACTTATTAAATTTGCGAGAACGGGTTGCTTCAGGAATCTGGCATATCAACGCCAAATCTCTCTTCCTGATCCCTGAAGGATTTTTTCTCCCAACTGGTACCATGTGTTCGGTCTCCTGCTCCATACACCTATTTTCATTATTTTACGTTTTCCAGAGTTAAACTATTGGCCATTTGCTGGACCATTCCTTCGACGTATTCCGGTCATCTTGTAGTATCTTGCTGTCCTCTGCTTAATCCGTCTCATGATTTTAGCGTCGTCACCAGAGGAGAAAGAGTCCTCTCATTCTTAGGCAATGATCTTCGGGAAGATCATTTACATATATCAGAAACAAGATAGGTCCTAGTACAGAATCCTGTGGGACTCTGCTTGTGACATCTCGCCATTCTGAGGTCTCGCCCCCTTACATAACTCCGTTTTCTGTTTGAGTACTCTTATCCAATGGAACACCTGGCCGGTTACTCCAACTTATGGGGTACTGTATCAAAACCCATCCCGCTCGGGATCGCCCCTAAACATACACGGTGCTATGACCACCTCACCAATGATAGTCAATAAAGATTGCCAAAATGTGTTACAAAACTGTCCCCAAATTTAACAAGTGTAGTCGGGGAGTTCATTAGTCATTTAGCTTAGTTAATAAGCACATTAATTCACCTTCTTTAATAACAAATAATTAATATATGGTATATAATATGAAGTGAACTAGACGCCATTGATTAGCTAGGAGTCCACACTGTGTAATTGTGATACTTTATACACATCCACATACATTTTGTTTGGGGGGGGGGGAATTATACTAATACAAATCCAATTTGTTTTCCATATTCAGAGGAGGCAAGCATTCGCGTGCCGCAACATAATCACACACCTCAAACATCAATACCTTACCTCATAAACCGTCGCTAGAAGACAAAATTCTCGGCATAAAAATCTTTGTTTGTCATTCGTTCTACAAGCCGACGTCTAAATTTCCCGGCAGCCTGACGACCAGCGTATCCTCACCCCTTGCTGGCTGCCGCACTACTGACCAACCGCACCGCTGTGTCTCTGCCCTCCTCGCCGGGACACCCTGCGGTTGCCATCAACGTATTGAATTGTTTAATTTGATTATCATTTATATTGATTAATGAATGAGATTCACTTTGATTCTCACAAACATTTGAAGTTTAAAGTAACTTAGAATTTTTGTATGTGTTGGTTACATCGGTATTGACTTTTTATAAATGGTTTTCTTGACGAGGCAACATCTGCCATGAATATGTTATAATTTTTTGTTTGTTTTTATGTAATTGGACCGTACAGCCCTTGGGCACTATGTTGTTCTCCAGTAACGGGGTCCCTCGTTCGATCAACGTTAATCACGTTAATTCGGGGTTGAAATGGCGTTGTT